TTGTTTCCTGTATTCAAAATCTGGCATACTGCATGGAAAAAAAATACACATATTTCATCAAACCACAAACTCAATCTGCATAAATGTAAGACAACAGGGGGCGCCACTTGAAACCTCCCATTACACATCATAATTATCATTAAACGCTATTAAAAAATACCAAAACAGAACCTTGTCTTATCAAGGTAAGTATTTTCATCACTCATGTAAAATTGCCGGTATTTTAACAATTCACCACCCCCATATGTTATTTTGGCAAATTTTGTATTTATATCAGGATCATCCATCAAGAAAACAGATCTTAATGTTGTTACTTGATGAGCCAGAAACTACAAGCTGCATTTTCTGGGCATGTTTGTGGCATACAAGCTAATATTGTTATTCCACCTGTTTTGTTGTAAAACTCTAACAGCTATTTCCAAGAATAATATAACACCATTAAAACATACGTCATTTCTGACACCAATTAAAACAGGTGACACAGAAAATCAGTTAATTTTTTACAATAATTCATAAGGTTATTGTGTATTTCTAACTAACAATTGGAATAATTTTTGTTTCCTTGTTGCAGGTGGTACTTATTACCACTGATACTGTCAAAAATGTTTGTTGGAGTTTGTTGATTTACTTCAGGCATGGTAGTCACGTGAGTAACGTCAGACCTTTTGCAGGCTAGTATGAATGTCTCCTCACAAAATAGCACTCATTGTCTCTGACGGGATTCAAACCCACACCATTGGGGGTAAAGCGGTCAAAGTCAGTGATCTTCATCCCCCTGTTAAGGAGACCCCTAACTAAAACTATCACTTGAGTTGAGCTTTAAACTTACACTTTGCATGCTAACACACATCATGCTAACACTCTGCATGATAAAAAACAACTTATACTTCTTACATCACAGGTACATGTGGCATGCATACCTGTAACATGTAGAATTAAGAATAATCTACTGAAGGACAGTCACTATATCAGTGAAGTATTTCAAAAGCAGGGAAAAAAAGGGTTGACTATGGAATCACAGATTTGTTTCATTTCACATCTATTTCCAAATCAACTGATTACGTAATTTTTATATAGCAAATCTGAGACTGCTCTTTAAATCATCTACATACACATAATTGTTAGGCATTGGCTTATAAGCAATTTTGATAACAGGAAAAAAATTTACAAATTGAAAATCAATGTAGTTCAATTATAGTACCTTCAGTCTTCAGTAAAATCATAAACAGTATCACCTTTTACAATGTATAAAAAAGTTCTATAGTGTTAAGCCGTGTCTACACCTATTCAAGTTTCTTACATGTCACATTTAGATAAGCTAAATAAATGGTCCTTTCAACATTTTTTCAGGCACAATTTTTACTGAAATGCCTCATTAAGATAGCCCAGGATTTATACCTTTGTCTTTGCAAGACTATCATGTTTCTGTAAAATATGTGAAAAAAGCGGGGGAAAATGATGCAATTAGCTAAAACAGAATGGAGTAAATGAAATGCGTTCATTTTGTTTTTAAATTGAAAAAATGTGACAAAAATTTATTTTGATGCAAATTCTTTATTTGATGAAAGTTATTCACTAAATGAACAAGATCATTTTAAATCCATTTTGACTCTACTTGAAAAAGAGCTCTTTTTTATTTTTTTACAATGTATTTATTTATTTTTTATTTTTTTGCTCTTCTGTGTATCAGCGTATTGATTTGTTCCTTTGACCAAGACATTGTAATCATTTACTGAAATTCAAAGGGCATGTACACTGAATCAACAACAAAAAGTCAGAAAATAATAAAAATAACAGCACTATCAAACCTTCGGGCACATGTTTTGTGTCAAACCGGTGTTATCAGTGTCTTGACAGCCAAAAACTTGTAGAAAAATAGAACGTGTTCTAACTTTCTTGCAAGGAATTATCTTCTTGGATGTCACATAATTTCTCTTTAAAACTCATTCAAGTAGGGTGTCTACACTATCCAATGCAAGAGAATATGATACTTGCATTCAAGACTTGGATAGGTGTAGACGGGCACTTACAAGATAAAATAGAAGGTGGAGGTACTCCTTTTTTTCACAGAAACTTATAATCATAAGTCTATACAGAATCAGACAAAAACTCTGTCCAATGAGACACCTTTAACATTCTAAGTTTTCTCTCTGAAGAGACAATCTAACATTGTTATGAGGAAACTTCAGTAATATTTCCTTTCTTGATCAATCATTTCTCTCCCTAATAAGAATAAAATACCAAATAAGAAATAATCCCACCTGATTCATACATGGATTTATTATAAAGGTGGTACACTTGAGTCTAGAAATCTGGTTTATTTGTAATTAAACTTTCAAACTGACCAATGAGAAAGCTTCTTTCTTAAAATTAGCTCTTTAAACATAACTATGTTATTCTTTCAACTAACTTTGTTGTTTTACTGATTTGAACTAAAAAAGATGCCAAGATTAGCCAATACTGTCGTATCTGTCAATTAATACAACTGGAAAATATCTCCAGAATTCACTCCTCACAGTAAAATAATTGATACTTTAATTCTGTATTTCATTTAAACTTTACTTACTTCAGACAAATGGTTTTCATAAAGGACCCATACTTTTTAAGCATTGAAAATCTGTCAATTTAACTTCCACTTATTCTCATACTAAGATAAAAATTTTCTGTCCAAAGTCATGAAACTTATTTACAAGTAAAAATTCAAAAACACTGATTTACTGGACGCAGATTCCTGTATCAATTAATATACCGCAAAAAAGTACATTTTGATGTACAATTCTTTACCTTGTGCATCCAAGGGGATGCATAAAAACATTATATTGTTTTATTAGATTTTCATTAAAATCATAATAAATAAACCTTGCAATACAATGTTAATTTGCTATATTTAAGATATGTTCAGTAAATAACGGAGTATAGTAATGAAATACATTGCTTAAATAAGTGGTTGGACCCCTTAAATTAGTGACCTGATCCCTTTTATTACAGAGCCTGCACAAAATGGACCCCTGAAATTTGAAAATGATGTTAATCACTGCTTTAATCATTTTAAGGTCAACTAAGGGTAAATACTATGAGATAAATGCAACTGACCAATATTTATTCACAGATATCCTCCATTCACAGCTGGTTTATATCACATGATAAAGCCCTGATTAATTTCAGTAAATTAATTCTTCACATAAAGATAATCACAGCTTGAGAAAGATTAGTGACCATAACATGGGCAAGAAAATCAAGATATCTGTGAAAAAATATACATTCTGTAAAAAGTATATTCATAAACTACCAAAGGAGGAAAGCTGTTAACCCATAAAAATAAGCTAATAAATATCCCCTTAAGTGGACTTGCCCATCTTTTAATCTAGACTAAACCATTCCTCATGTTTAGTGAAAATTTCCAAATATATATGGACGAAATACAGAACAGTGCAGACCATGATCAGTTGGCGCGGTTTGTTCTACACTGGTTGCCATGGGTAGAATATGTTGCCGCCAGCACGCTTAGGGTAAAACATTGTGTCCAGAATATGAACCATAAATTATTATAGTGACAAATGTTGTTTTTTTTCTTCGCAATAAAACCTTAATAAAAATGCTTTTAAACTGAGATAATCTACATTTTGTCTCTGTGAAAAAACAAAGATGATAAAGCTTTTTTCAAAGGCTGCAGTCCTTGTGCTTTTAATTATTTATTGCAGTCAACTTAGTGCAACATCAGCGAGTAGACAAACTAATGCATTTTATGTCAGGAATCATCCTGAAAAAGCAACACTCAAATAAATTGGCAAAAAAAAAAGAAACAACAGAGACACCCTATCTTGTATCCCATAAGTCATTATTTGTGACAAACAACAGACATACTCTTTAACTGACAATTGGCATTCCCTCATACATGCACAAACAGTCAATGTATAAAGTATATATATATATATCCATTGAAATTCTCTTGATTTCTCTAGGGTGAGTACTTCAGACAATATTCCAATTCAAGACAATTATGTCCCTTTGTTTGTTTATAATCATGTCAATATAATCAAAAAGGCAAAACTAATTGTTGCACTTTAAATGATAGAAATACCCCTGAATATATCCAGCATAGCTCATAAAATATTTATAAAATATTAACTGTTTTACAACCTCTGATGCCCTTCTGAGAATTATTTAAAGGGATTCCGCTGAGGCCTCTTGACAAGGTGGACTGGAAATATTTTTTCCAGATAAATATTGCATTTGATGTAAGTCTAGACCAATAATTTGTGTGCAAAATTTAAGATCATTCGCTCATTCTGTTTTTCCAAAATATTTATTCTAAATATGATTGTTTGTTGTTGGTTTGGTTTAAGGTCATATGGCACCGGAGCAGGAAAGATGATTTTGGTTAACCTTGGGTGTTACAAATTTCAAAGCAACACCGAGGGTCAAAACCACCCCACCTGCTGGAGCTTAGAGAGACATAGACTCTCTTATTCAAACACATTCTTATGATCAAGCAGGGATAGTGAATGTTGCAAAGTTTCAATATGTGGACCCTTAAAAACTTCAGTGGACTCCCAAAATCTCAAACATGGGGGTATTATGGACCCTTGTCTGAAATTCCTAGGAAAAACCCTGAATAAAACGGTTGCAATTAGTTTGTAATTTTAATATTTCTAACAATATTTCTATCAACTGATATGCAAGCCAAAAGGAGCTATCATTGTGGATTTAATTATGATAAGTAATTTATTTGAAAGCAGTAAATATTTTCTGATTCAACTGATAGACAACTTCTTTGTTTCAATTTGTTATATTGATATCAAGCACGTAAAATATCAAGTACCTAATTCGTAATTATTTCTCATGAAAACTTTGAATAAAAGCCTTGTAATACACTTAATAGTCTGCCTTTGGGGAATAGAAAAAAGCAGTATAAACATTCTTTAAGCTTATTTTCTTAAAATACCATACAGAAATAGAAGAATTATATCAAAAAGAAAAGTTTGAAAATAGAAATTTACCTGCAGCCAAAATTATCCGCTCAAAATAAATAACTTATTTTGAATATTTTTTTTTTTCTGTTTCAGCAGAATAATCTTCCATACCTGTAAAAGTAATCACTATTACAGACTTTAATTATAGGAGAAAAAGCAGAAAAGAAAAAAACATGTAAAGGTACAATATTATTCTCCAGAAATTAATTAACTTTGACTTTCTCCTTCAGGTGAATAGCAGGAATCGTTTCAATAAACTTGTGTGTAATTATTTTATACTCATCTTTATCTGCCATATCTGAGTGATAGTCATAATATTCTGACTTCATGGAAATAGTAATAAAAAAGTACAAAACTTTTTTTGATGCTGAAAAAAAACCATATGGTTAGCTCAACTTATAGAGCACTGGACTGTGAATCGGAAGACCCAGGTTTGAATACTGAATAATACAGATCACTTTCATTGTGATTAATCATGAATTCTTTTCTTCAGTCATTCACACTGTATCTTGACAGCCTGAGGGCGCCATCTTCTATATAATAAAAAGCCCAAAAGCGCACAATTTGTTGGGCTTAGTAACCCAGGAAAGATGCTGCGGCCAAACTGTGCTCTGTTGAATTCATAATGGCTTACTGCCGTGAGACTAAAAGTAATCTGCAAAAACAACCACACTGTAAAGGTCATACAGAGACTTTCCACCTTTACTGGTGGAGTCACTAGTGGTCACCAATGTAGAACTACAGACCTTAATTAGCTAACAAGAGAATTCTAAGTCTCTTACAGGATTTGAACTCATAGCAGTGAGGGGCAAGTTATTTAAACTGGGTAGCCCTAACAAACTTGGCCCACTGAGACCCCAAAAGAAAATTAACTCCCATACAATGATATCTTACACTCTGCACTCTTAAGAATCTGTTAGTTGTTTCTTCTGGAACAGAGAAATCACTCTGTTAGAATTATAAATAAAATCCACATAACATTTAATAAGCAACTTGCAAAATAAAGCTCACATCTTCATTAGTTCCTTTATCATTTACATCATATATTTTCACTAAGTGACTGACACTGGGAAAATCATTAAAAACAGTGAAAGATACAATAATTATCTCATTGACAAATTATAACATGTCACTGATTAAGTTTGTCAGTTTAAAGTATATTATTTCTTAGCTCACTGTGATTAAATTGACTTTTCTTATTCCTGTAGATAATGGTATTAATTTTATTTTCTAATACATTCATATTACACACTTTACAAAATGATAATAATCTGTTGAATTCCTCAAATGACATTTTGCTCATGTACAATTGTTTATCACACTATTAAAGAATGAAAGAAATAGTTCAGCATCTGTTAGTGATGTCTGTCATCATTCAAGTTGACAAGCTGGGAAACATTATTGTTGGCAAGTATAACATTCCAACACTTGATGATATATTTCAAATGACATTAAAAACTGCATAAAATTGCATAATACCCCGGAATTTGTAGAGGTGCATTGAGTGCAGTCATCGCTACAAGTTCATGATATATTGTAGAGTGATGAAATATTTTCAAGTCAGTTTGACTATTAAATTCTACATTGTCAGAGCTTGATGCAAAACTAATGTAACTCATACATGACATAAAGAAAAAGAAAAAAACGGGTTTTAAAACCAAACCCACGGGTTTTTCAAAAATGTGAAGTTTTTTTTTGGGTTTCCAAAATAAAAAGTTTAACTTAATTTTTAAATATTGTGAATAAAATTTAAATCCGTTTTTCGATTTTTGAAAAAAACCTTTATAACAACTTTTAAAAAGGGCCCAGTAATGACTGAAATGGAAAAAATTTCCCAACCCTAAATCTTCCCGAGGGGATATCCAGTTTTTGGGTTTTTAATTTTCTTTTACTGCAAAGCATAATATTATAAAATCACAGGGAATTTAAAATAATTTTTTAAATGAAGCAAAAATTTTGAAAAAGAAAGTATTTTTTGATATTTTTTTTTTTTAAAAAACTTTTTGACATGTTTAAACTGGGGGTTTTAACCCAATTTAAAAACCCATCTGTAAAAAATTTTTGTGTGTACTTTTGACCATATTTTAAAAGGGGCCCTTTTTAATGAAATTTAAATGAAATTTAAATTGTTGGTCAAAAAATCCTTAAATTTAAATTAAATGACTTTTTTTACATTCAAATAATCAAAATTTTTGAGCCAAAAACCCCCCCATTGCAAATTTTAAAAAACTCTAAAATGCTGATTGGGGCCCAGGTAAAAAATTAATTTTAATTTGGAAAATAAGATGATTTTTTACTTTTTTGGGCCCCTTAAAAAAAGGGGTTTGGGGGAAAGGGTTTTTTAATCCCAGATAAGCAATAAAGTTTTGGTACAGAAATTTTCCCTATGTCATCCCTTTTAAAGGGTGGCCATGAAAGTAAAATTTTTAAACATCAATAACATTTGAAAATCCCGGGGGTGGGTTTAAACATTTTTTGTACAAGATTTTATTATTCAATTTTCCGACTACTTGCTTTGTGTCACATAGCCGAAGTGGCTGCCGCTGGTAACATTAGATTCATTGTACCTTTCTTTACAAAAATATCAGAAAAAATGTTCATTGTTCAATTAAAAAAAATTTATTCTCACATTTTTCTTACAACTAAAAACTCCTAGAATTGCCGGATCCCAGCAACCAAAAAAAGGTTTGCCATTTAACCTTCAGCCTGCTAGTGACAACTGAATCTACCCATGTGATCAGTGCAGAGCAAGACCATTCAGCACATCTGACATTCTGTGCTTTGTTCTGTTCAATACTTAGCCAAAACTAATTATTTTGAAATTTCTCTAAATATTATGAGCCCCCGCCACTCCCCCCAAAAAAATGGTTATTACCATGTTGAAAGACGGACAAGTGGCAAGGTTTTAATCTTCCACTCTGAATCTTCTAATCTTATGTTTGTCAAGTCTCTGAAAGTAAACTACTTTGTAATAAGAGTAGAATAAAGGATAGAATTCCACACTGGATTTCCTTTTTTACATATTCTTTTAGATTGTAAATTTGATAGTTACAGAAATCAATGTGTATTTTATGCTACAATAACTACAAAAAGTGAAATTGAGTAAACAAGAATAAGTAATTGCTTGGAAATTGCCCATTTCAAAATCTATGCACTAAATCAATAACTTACATTTCCCATTTTAATTTCATGTGCTTATTTGCTCATTTGCTTTTGCAATGCCAATTTAAAGCTGTTATAACAATAAATCTACAGCAATTATTAATTCCCCCACCTAAAACTCTGTGCAGAAGTTTTACAAAAATTTGTTAGACTTTTTCAAAATACTGGAAAATTTCAAAGAAAGCTTTTTCTGACAAAAAAATGGCTTTTTCTAATTTTCTAATATTAAAATTAAAAACGTAAGCAAGAACACTAAAATTAAACTGCTAGAGATAAGTATTATGCCTGTGCCACCTTTAAAATTTAAAACCTTTGGGTTTATTCATATTTACGCAACCCCAAAATTTTTTGATTTTTAAAATTTCTTACACAAGGGACAAGATGGTCGAAGGGTTAAACCCTTTTGGATATAATCTAAAATTGTGGCCGCATGGGTTAAAAACCCTTAAAGGGTCAACCCGGTTTTTTTCCATATGCAAAAAAATTTTAAAACATTATTGTTTTAGTAGGGTTTTTGGTGAAAGGAGCTGTTTTCAAAGTTTCCAATTAGCTTTTAGCTTCCAACACTAAAAAAAATTTGTATAAACTAACTAAGTGTATACAATAGATACTTAAAATTCAGCAATAGATGAAACAGACAAATAATGACTATGAAAATTGTGCAAGGACTACTTTTTTCAGATGAAGTAATACAAAAAAGAAGGTTAATGAAAACAAACATCTCAGACTGGGTTTGTACTATGTAACCACAAAAACCTCAAAACCACATCCAAATACCGGAATCAATGAGCAATTTAATTGAGCTACAAACCACAAACTGGTGTGTCCACTTTGAAATATACAGATTTTTCTATCACTTCCTCCTCTGGCACACTGAAAATCAACTGAATTCTCAATCAAACAAATCAAAATACTCACAGATGGTACAAAAGATATTATAGCAGTTAAGAAGTAAAAAGTTGATATGAAAGCCCGGTAAAAGGTTTTTATTACTATTTTATAGCTGAGGAAATTATTCAATTTAAACAATTTTTATGAGATATATCAACTTGTCAGTATCTCTATTCATAAATCAGGTCAATCTGTTTATAAGGCTGTTTTTTATGTGAAATCATATTGCAATTTCCTGTACTAGTATAATATAGTATCATAGAATCTGGCAGGCAGGTCCATCAGCTCAATAGGTAGAGCGTTTGACTGTCGATCGGGGCAACCCTGGTTTGATTCCCGGACAGTGTAGGTCATTTCATGAAATCTTTTCTAGTTATTTAAACTGTACCTTTGCCCAAGCATGTACAGAGGTGAAAGTGAAGACAACTAGTACTGGTAAAATGCTCGACAGCCTGCCGTGATCCGGAGTGAAAACTACCAATTCCACCACAAGGCAGGTCTGGAAAGCCAGTAACAGCAGCAGTTATGACTATGATACCAGTATTTAGATCTAAAGGCCTCAACAGACAGTAGGATTTTGAAGTACAACACCAATTAAAACTAAGATGTACAGACAAATCTTAATGTGTGAAGGCTACTATTTCTTGATTTCGGAAACCCTATGTCTAGATGTAAGGGATAGGACATGTTCTATTTTGAAAATCTTGTCCTACCGATTTTTACAGACCTCCCACAATGACAAGTAACAGATAACCAAATTATCTCTTGATAATGGGTGTAATGAATGAAATTCCAGAACAATTAGGGCTAAAAGGTAAACATAGTAGTAAGATGGGGTAAAAATGATGTTGAAAAACTCTTCAGGAGACCCAAAGTTGTGTTATGTTCGAATCCCAAATTATTCCGAAAATGATTATATCACGGTATCACGGTATTGAATTGTTCTCTAAGTAGGGGAGGGGAGGTAGTTTGTAGGCGACCAGATAGCTTAGTCAGCAGAGCCGCAGTACGGTATTCCGAGGGTCCCAGGTTTGAGTCTCGGTCAGGCTTCACATTAA